CCTCCCTTGCTGTCGACTGATGGCCTCATACACCTATCCCACTTGTGCACCCTGAGAGGCCTGCCCCACCACGGCCAAGGAACCCAAGTGAGCCAAGAGTGGAGGGCCAGAAGTCCAGCAAGTTCCCTGTCCAGTTCCTCAGAGCCCCACAGAGAGGTCAGCTGATGTCCCATGTGACAGGTACCTGCTTGGTTTCTAGGCAGGACGATGCTTGCCATGGGCTTAAGTTCCCATGTGTCTTTTAGAGATGGGCTATTTCAGCAAAGTACTCATTTTCTTCTTCTTCAAAGCAGCTAAAGGCGGCAGTGGAGGGCACAAAAAAATTAGCAGAACATTGCTCCAGATCTGCCCTCTGGTATTGTGTGACACACCTAGTTGTGTCTAGTGTCAAAAAATGAGATGGCGCCTTGGGTCAGAGAGCAGGTTTCAGTACTCCCATCTGTCTCCTAGAAAATCTCGGCAGCTCCTAAGTTTTGCCAGGTCTTGCACCCCTGATTAGTATTTGTGATAAGCCTCAATATTAAAAGCCAATGTTTGTGATTGGAGGGCAGGCAAGATCACTTTCAAACTTTTGGGGGGAGGGTGCAGTTCTCTAAACATAGCACCTCATGGATTTGCTCCTCTGAGGCCGCCTCTCCCTTACAAATCTATGCCTCAAACAATGTGGCGCCCGGGCTGCCTTCCTCTGCAATCTGCCATTTATTCTCCTGCCTGCGGTCCCAGCTAACTGCAAACACATGTCCGTCAGTTCCCCCCTCAACCATCTGCAGCCTCTCCATCCTACACCCCTCTCCTTTGAAATTGCTTTTCCATTCGCAGTTAAAGACAAAAGTGCCGTCAGCGAATCAGTCCTCCCCCCCCCTTCTTCTTAAAGGGATGCATTCCAAAATCCCTTGGCAGGCTATTTGGGAACTGTGTGTGTGTGTGTGTAGAGGGAGGGAGGGACACACAACAGGCAGCCAAGCAAAGCCACACACACAAAACCCAACAGTGTCCTTTGGGAACAATAGGGAAATGGGAATTGTAGCAGCAAGGTTAGCTGCTACTCCTCAGCTAGCATTTTGCCTCTCATTTTACAGAGAGAAAATGAAGGTCCTTGGTTTTCCCTTTAAATTGTCCGAAAGGGTGCAGTTAGGGGCTTTTTGTGCTGAGCTCCCCTCACACTCAACCCGTAGATCTGCTGCCCCTTCCCACTTCGTTGCTTACCGGGCAGCTGTACACGCAGCAAAGCACAAGGCCGTTGGCCACCCACCAGCGAATCTGCCCTTCTACGTTAGCATGTGCAAATGTGATGCAAATTTGAGTCAGGCGCCTGTGCACACTGCCACTGTGTTCAAACAGATCAAGAGAGCCCAAAGGAGCTTTCTGTGCAAACAGCTTCCTCCCCTCTACCAATGTCAAGAAGGTCTGTTTCCTCCTCCCTGCCCCACCCCAGAATAGATGGCACTTAAAAGACTTGGCACAGGCTAATTACACAAATTTGCATCAGATTTGAACATGCTCTATATGTATAAGTGCATATTTATGTATGTATAAGTGCAGATTTGCCCATTAAGGCTGCATACACAGTAACCCATCTGAAGCAAGAAAACGTCTTTAAAAAAAACCCATAAAACTATCTTGAATCATGCATGCTCATCCTCAACATGCTGCTTTCGGTCTAGATTGATTCTAGAACTTGTTGTCTACAAGGGTGAGTCTGCTTGCTTGACCCACATTTGAAATTCCTTTTCTTGATTAGGTTACCCGTGCCTTTTCCTCCCTGCACTTCCCCCGGGGCGAATGGCAAAGGATGTGGTGGATGCAATCTCTGTATAATTCCACCCACAACATCATTGGGTCTCATTGCCAGGACCACTTACATCTGTTTTCATATGGACACACTGCAGGGCAATGCAGAATCAAGCTGCAGTGAGCGTTTGTTTTTAGAATGAAGCCGGTTCCTCAAGAAGTGCTACTTTTCAGGACCAAAACAAAAAACCCCACAATAGATCTTGACTGTGCATTTACTGTGTAGAAAAGAACAGGTACTTGTTTCCCACTGATTCTAGAATAAAATATTGTGATTCTTGAATAACATACTGTGTGTGCACAACCTAAAGATGGAGGTCAGCCGACAGTCCTGTGCTTTGCTGTAGGCTCATCTACCCTGTGAGCAACAAAGTGGGAAGAGGGCAGTGTGCTGACCATGACTTAAGCTCATTGCATTGTTAATTTCCTATTTGATACACGCTAATTCAGCAACTCAACACTGCTCAGAAAGGCAGAAACTGGAGGTGCTCTGCTATGCTTATACACAAATACTGGGATTAGGATGCTAATATATTTAACAGGCAAATTATTGCAGAGGGATGATGATGAAAAGGGGTTACAGAAGACTGAGGAGTTGTTGTTTTTTGTTGTGGCCATGTATGTGATTTTCTTTGCTTGGATTAGAACTAGTTTGGTTTTGGAAGAAACCAAATCAGCCGTGCTTATTTAAGCCAAGGCTTTAGCCACCATTCCCCGCTAGGTGGGGCTGCCACATTTCTTGGAAGGGGCCAAAAAAGACATGAATGGAAAATCAATCAGTAATTCCTTCCTAAGCAACGTGAACTTCTACAATCCCCGTGCCAAGCTGTAGAGTCTGCCTGCTTCTTAACATTGTCAAATTCTTAGCATCAGCTAAGCTGCAAAAAAAGAAGGGGGAGGGTAATGTTTACGTCCCAAAGCCTTTATGATGAACGCTGTGCTTTGCTTAATAGTAATTTCCTTAAGGGATCCCATATCCCCTGCCATGAGCACAGTCATAATAGCTAAAGGGAATCTCCACCCCCCCCAAATGATGGAAATGATGGTTGTGATCTTCTGGAATAACACATCCTGAGTCAGGACAGGGAATCATAGGTGGGCAGGTCATGTGGGTGGAATTTGGACTATTACCACTGGCAGGGTGGAGGTGGCGGCACCATCTGCTGCTGACTTAATTGTGTTTTTTAACACATCACATGAAGCTGCCTTATACTGAGTCAGGCCACTGGCTGCCCAGGATCACAGATAGTGGCCTTTTCCTGCCACCTGTTCTTTTTACCGGGAGATTGAACTTGGGACCTGCTGCACGCAGTGCTTATGCTATGCTCTTCTATTGGTCCCATACCTTTCCCGCCCCGACCTGGCCACAGTGATCCATGCAGCGGTCACCTCCAGGCTTGACTACTGTAATTCACTCTGTATGCAGGGCTGCCCTTGAAGCTGTCCCAGAAACTCCAGCGGGTGCAGAATGCTGCAGCGAGGCTTCTCACGGGGTCTCTGCCATGGGAGCATATTCACCCAGTGCTTTTCAAGCTGCACTGGCTCTCGGTGGAGTACAGGGTCAGATTTAAGGTGCTGCTTTTGACCTTTAAAGCCCTTCACAGCCTAGGACCCTCGTACCTATGGGACCGCCTCCCAGTATGCCCCATGGAGAGCCTCAAGGTCCATGAATAGCAACACCCTAGTGGTCCCGGGCCCTAAGGAAGTTAGATTAGCTTCAACCAGAGCCAGGGCCTTTTCAACTCTGGCTCCAGCCTGATGGAACGCTCTGCCTCATGAGACCAGGGCCCTGAAGGATCTGATTTCTTTCCGCAGGGCCTGTAAGACAGAGTTGTTCCGCCTGGTCTTTGGCTTGGAGTCAATTTATTCCCTCCCTCTCTTTTTTTCTTTTCCTTTCTCCTCTTGCGATAAGGCTACATTTTAATATTTTAATGTTTCAAAATTTTAATGTATTTTAATTTTGTTTTTAAGTTGTATTCATTCAACTTATTTTTATTATTGCTTGTTAGCCGCCCTGAGCCCGGCCTTGGCTGGGGAGGGCGGGGTATAAATAAAAATTATTATTATTATTATTACAGATACTAATACTGCACAGCTTGAAGCAATAGGGTGAATAAAAACTGACTTCTCTTGGAATAATAATTGTCCAGACCCATAAATATGATTCACAGAACCCTCTTCAAGTGAGGTACTGCACCCCACTGGCCACACCCTGGCTACAAGTCCTAAGGTGTATCATTGCCCGAGGTAAAGAGTGGGGAACCTGTGTCCCCAGCAGATGTTTCTGGGACTACAACTCTCATCATCCCTGATCATTGTCCATGTTGGCTGGAGTTGATGGAAGTTGGGAATCCAAAAGCATTGTGGGGTCACAGGTTAACCACACCTGCCCTTGGCAAAAATGGGTGTAGCTGTCCTTCTCAGGGAAAGGATTATGTTCCATTCACAATAGTTTTCCTTATTGCTGGTCCTTCCACCTTGCTTTATACCTGAATGAAGTGAAGGAAGCAGGGTGCAGTTCATAAATTCCCAACCTAGCCTCAGGGCAGCAGATGCAAACTCCATTTTATTCCTGTAGTTATGATGCTGCTGTGATTTAAAATGTGAAACTGCACATGCACAGAGTAAAAAAAACCAAGGTGGGCAAACTGCTTCTTGCCCCAGCGTATCAGTAATACATAAACAGTTATAAAGCAGGGGATGGTGGTGTTAATTGAGTGCTTTGCAAATGAAGTAATGCAGATGGCTGTCTAAAGCAGGGTATTAAGTCCAGGGTCTAATATTTCCCAGCTGCCTCAGAATCGCCAGTGGAAAGGATCATATTTCAGTCAGTGGGATCCACGGTCTAAGGATGTCCCCCAACTATGGCTGCATATGCACCATACATTTAAAACACACCCACCCCAAGAATCCTGGGAACTGTAGTTTACCCTTAACCAATTACAGTTCCCAGGATTCTTGGGGGAATGTGCTTTAAATGTATGGTATGTACAGTATGTACACAGCCTATGTCTTAGCTGCAGCCTGTTCCATAAAATTCCCTGACGGATACTGAGAACTGAGCATGTCCCACCCTGATTGCTGTTCTTGGTCACACTCAAATGGGACAAAGAGACAGAAGCCAGGAAGTAGGGTTTCATCCATATGATGTTATTTATTTGATGCTTTTGGCTGTGTACCTTGACCTACAACACCTTTTTCCTCTACAGGTGACACCATGTCTGTGATATACAGTGAGGTGGCTGCTGATGAGCCTACAACTAGCAGCTTCTGGATGGTGAGTGGATGAAAACGGGGCAGGGTCACATAGTTGGGAGAGGAAGGAGATCTCATGGGCATGATGGAGGCAGATTTCTCAAAGACATTCATTTGGACTAAGTCAATGGAGTCAAGATTGTATGGGTGTTCAGTCATTGGTTTCATTTATATATATTTGCTTGGTCCAAGGATTTTCTGTTACCTGAAACCAACTCTACCTTAGACCCTGGGTGGGCCACTGTCTCTCTATTCCTAGTCTAGTGGTCTAGAGCAGAATTAACGCTCACTTTTTTTTAAGGACAAGAGATAAGGTTTGGTTAGCTAAATTAGGAAAGTAAGAAGCTGCCTTATACAGTGCCAAGCCTTTGGTCCATCTGGGGATTATTGGGTTGTCTTTGTTTTTATGTTAGTATGTATTTTTTTGTTTTTTAAATTGTAATTTTATGTTGCGAACTGCCCTGAGATCTACGGTTATAGGGCGGTATACAAATTTAATAAACAACAGCAATTCAGTATTGTCTACACTGATACATTGACTGACAGCAGTTCTTTAGGAGTTCAGGCAAGAGCTTTTCCCAGTCCTACACACTGCTGGGATTGAACATGGGATTATTGGCATGGAAAGTGGATGCTCTTGACACTGAATGATGGCCCTTCCCCAAGTCCTTAGGTACAGAAGTCCTTGTGACTCTGATAAATGTGTAGGTTTGAGGATGCACCATACCCCGTTCATGCTGTGATTGCTCCCTCCCTATCAGTCTCTCTCCCTTCTGCTCTCCTGCAGCCCAATCACTATCACAGCACAGTCAAGCGCTTGGATGATGGCTATCGCGTCTGTGACCAGATTGTGGCCTGTTTCCAGGATCGGGCAAAGATTGAGCGCAGCTATGCCTTGCAGATGGAGGAGTGGACTCGCAAGTGGCGCCCCCTTGTGGATGCAAGTGAGTTGTTAGGCATCACACATTATTTAAGAGGAGAACCGTGTTGCAAAATTCAAAGCAGTGCAACTTTCAAAGGACAGCTGTGTTTTTCTTTGTGTGTTGTTTTGGGAAACAAGAATTAATGCAAACCATACCAAATTTTTAGTTCAGGTTCCTGCACCAGATGACCCTCAGAATCCCTTCCAATTCTACAGTTCTATGGTTCTACTTGCACTCCCAAAAGAAACAGGACAGTTGCATGATTTTTAGATGCTCAGGATTGATGGGGATCTGCTGGTTTTGTGGGCTAGCTATCCTCAGGGGCAAACTATGAAATCTGGGCATCCCCTCTCCCTCCCTGCAGGTCCAGTGTACGGCTCCTTGCTCCGGGCCTGGCAAGCCTTCCTGGGGGCTTCAGAGCGGCTGAGCCGCTTGCACATGGATATGCAAAGGGCTCTGGTCTCCGAGGATGCCGGGCGCATCCGGGGTTGGCAACACGACTCCTATCACCGCAAGCTTTTTGGGGGCTTCAAAGAGGCCTGTGAGCTGGAAAGCGGCTTCCAGCGGGCACAGAAACCCTGGACCAAGAAGCTCAAGAAGGTAGGGGAGACTTGGCCCCCTGGATGTCATGGACTGGTTGGGCGCAGAGGAATGGTGGGAGGAACCAGTTGGGGAACCACCGTGAGAAGAAGGCTCAGAGCCCAGGGAGTGGTGGTGAGATGATGATGAGTGCTCTGAGGGGGAAGAGGAGGTGTTGGAAGCTGAAGAGGCAACAGGACTTAGTGAGCTGGGAGAGTCTGTGGCAGAGAGAAGTCCAGAATCAGAGGCGGAAGCTGAAGTTGGCGAGTAGGAGGAGGGTGACCAAAAGGCAGAGATGAGTGAAGGCTGGTATATCTCGACACACTTTGACAGTCCACTCACTATTATTTTCCTTCCCTCTCTCCTGCCTACCCTTGACTGGCCCATCCAGGTCGAGAAGACCAAGTCTTTATACCACAAGGCCTGTCGCAAAGAACACATTGCAGCCCTACGGGAGAATGCAGTCAAGGCCACACCGGGTTCTGAGCTGCCCCAAGAACGACAGCGGGCCTTGAGGGAGGAACACCAGCGTTGCAGCCAAGAAGCCAACAAGGTGGGATTCTTCCCTACTTTCTTAATGGGCCCAAAGGCTAATAAATATGGGTCAATGGAACTGCCAGGCACACTAGACACACTTGCTGATACGTTGCCTGGGGCTTGGTTATAAGCAGAGTCCTCAGTCTTTCTGACGTTTGGAGTGTTTGTGGGCATCAGTCACAAAATGGCTGCCGTGGCATAGCACAAAATGGCTGCCATATCTAAAAGAACAGAAAGAGAAACGGGACCACATAATGATACAGGCCTGCCTTCTCTTTGCCCCTCTCCTCTATTCAGAACAAAAAGGATGGTGAGTGTCCAGTCCTGACATCTAATGAAATGGGGGCATCTTTATGTGTTCAACGTAGGCTTGGTCAGTGCAAACAGGAAATGAGCAGAAAGAGCAAACATTCTGTCATGCATTGTGAATTTTTGAGGGGCTATTTCCTGAGACCTGTTTGTGGGTGCCATAAGAGGTGCTGGCTGGCACACTGGCACCCATGGTTGCTGCATCCCCCCCCCCCCGTGTTGTATCTACCTGTTAGACCTAGCAGCTCCTGGCTCCCTGGGTCTAGCCATCTTATTATCTCATAGGATTGCCATTTGACCAGAAAAAATAATAATCAGCCTACCCTGTTCTTGTGCCTTTGATAGAAGAAACCATAACTCTGCATAAACCATTAGGTGAAAGTTTTTCAGTGCACTGAGATGATCATGATCACATGCTAATATCTGCAGAACAAGCTGCTGTAAGACACACAGAAGCTGGTAAAAAAAGGAATAAGTTGGCAACCTTATTTCCTTATGATACTACTGTGTACGTGCATTTTTCAAAAAGAAAAAAGGAAAGCACACAGAAGCCAGTGAACCCACAGGAATGTGATGCTTTGTGTTGTGTTTTTCTTAGATGATGCTTTTTATTGACATGAGTAGTGCCTTTGAAAAACGTGTCACCTAGCACGGGACTGCCATCAGCCACAGAGGGATTATTTGGGAAGGGATGCGAAGAGCCAGTCCACTAGGCTATATCAGAGGGAGAGATGGGGCTGCCCTCCATTAGCTCTGATGAAAGTCCACCACCTTTTTGCCTGTTTTCCTTGAGCATGGTGTTTATCTATATCTGTATACTACTAACCACAAAACCTATGCTCTACTTTCACTGTTGGAGCCAGTGTGGGACTCTGATTGCTGGTATGCTCAAGTGGGGAGTGTGTTACACCCAGCATCCTATACTGGCTTCTCTGAGAAGCAAATGTTGCACTAGATGGGCAATTGTCTTTGAAGGAAAAGGCCTTTAGATTGTATTTTCCGCCTCCATGCTTCTTGGAAGTGGGGGTGGGGAGGGGAGGCAGCTCATATCCCAGAGAGAGAGGGGGGAGGACTGTTAGGCACATGCCTCTTTTTGATCCTTGACCCCTTACAACAGGTGCGCGAGCGCTATGAGAAGGCCCTGCAAGAGCTCGATCGCTGCAGCCCACGCTACATGGAGGAAATGGAGTCCGTTTTTGAGCAGGGGCAGGCGCAGGAGCAGAGACGCATCGCCTTCCTCAAGGGGGCCTTCCTCGCCCTACATCGACGCCTCGATGTCACTGCTGACCCCAGGTGTGGGAGAGGGCAGAGGCACCAGGTTGCCCCCAAGGTTGAGGCCCAGCGTGCAGCACATGTGTGGCAATGGAGGCTGAGCACTCGGGAGGAGCCAACTACTGGACCTGCAATGCGTGATGTGCATTGCATGAAGGGCCACCTCAAGATCAGGGCCCTCTGGCCCCTTAAAACAAATATTGAGGGGACAGAAGTGCCTTTAGCCCCCTAGAGTTGGCACGCCTGGGGGAGGGTTCACTGAGGCCTAAGTGACACTTTTCAAAGCAGCACACAGAACGGTCACCTGAGAGTCATTTCTGATGGGATCCATTGAAACAAGATTCTGGCCTGATGCAGCAGAGCTTTTAAAATGTTCATGCTCCTAATATCACCAGAAGCAGCTTTTCCCGGTTGGGGAGGGGGCAGAGATTGCAGAGGCACCTTTGACCTTTAGAGGGAGTCTCAGAGCTTCCTATGTGTGCTTGAGTGGTATCCAGAGGTATATTTCCAATTCAGAGTGCTCATTTCCAAGGAAATCTTGCATTTCAGACTAGAGCTTATGGTGGATTGTGTTCCCCAAATCAGAAGACTTCTCCCAGTGCCATGCATCACACTAAGTGGGAAGGCAGAGTGAAGAAAGCGGTGTAGATTGGATGTTGTGTGTGTGTGTGTGTGTGTGTGTGTGTGTGTGTTTTGGGGGGAGAGTTCTATGCCACCTGACACCCCTTCCTGATGATTTCCCTCCTTTCCTTTAGCATCCAAGCTGTTTATACTGATTTGCACCAAGCCATCGAGGACATAAATGACCAGGATGACCTGAAATGGTGGCGTAATCGACACGGACCGGGGATGCCTATGAACTGGCCACAGTTCGAGGTGGGGACCTCTCCCTTCCTTAATGGTGAGATAAGGGTGCTCTGCATATTCTCAGAGGCACTTCCATCTCTAGGCAGCATTTAGGCACAGGGAGAAACTGCCCCAGATTATATCTGATGCAAGTTCAAGCCCATAACAGTCTCTAGAAAAACTTGTTCTGCTTCTTGCCTGATTCTAAATTTAGCCTCCTTCAGTTCTCTGGGTGCTCCTTTCCGCACAGAACAAAAAGCTCTTTTTTGTCCTCAGGCCCCTTGGGCTGACAGTTTACTTGTGAGCAGTTAGAATGTCTTTGAACATTCAACATGACATTACAACAATTCAGCCAGTGGCCAGGGAGGCATCTCAGACTTATTAGCAGCAACCACCAACCTGTATTTCGCTTCAGGTTTTGTCCCTCTTTTGACAGATTAACAAAACTCTTTGAGTTGGGAGGGGAAGGTGGGCTATGTGATTGTTTATATTTTATTTTTTTTTTTGAAAAATTTTTTATTAGTTTTACAATATTTTAAGAACAAACAAACACTTAAAAAGACATACAAACACGTATAATTTCATAATGTTTTTCATAAACCTCTTTTCTGAGACTCCCCATACCCCCCCCTTTCTGCATCCCAATGTCCATAGTTTTATAGCAACTCCCAATTGTTACTTTCCAACCTCTGTCCTTAGTTATCTCTGTAATCTGACCTTATATCACTGTATCCCTTTGTTCCTGAAAACCATAACACTCTAACATTCATCAAGTTTATAATAGTCCTTAAGATAACTTTTGAATTTTCTCCATTCTTCTTCCACCGTCTCTTTTCCTTGGTCACGGATTCTGCCTGTCATCTCGGCCAGTGTCATATAGTCCATCACTTTCATCTGCCATTCTTCCAGAGTGGGTAGATCTTGTGTCTTCCAATACTTTGCGATAAGTATTCTTTTTTTTTTATAATAATTTTTATTGCATTTTCCAGACACAGACAGAAAACAGTAGAAGAAAAAATAAACGAAAAATGTAAAAGAAAAAAGAAAAATCATACCCCTTCAACAGCTTATTCCAACTTTCCATCAAACTTCCCCACATCTCCCGCACAATGCATTCTTAATAATAAATTTATCAGCAAATTGTAACCTTATTTCATGTGTTTCTTTGGTACTTTCAGTTGCAATTTAAGTTTAAATCCCTTATTGTCCATTTACCCTGAAAACAAGACATATTATCATTCTTAACATTTAAACTTTGATTCTTTCAATAATATTATCCAATTTCATAAATATTGCACTCTCGTTGCTGGGGCTAGCATTTCAGATTGTGCGTCATTTTATAGTTCATATAACTTATAAAATTTTTGTAAATAGTTCTTAAATTTTTTCCAGTCCTCCTCCATTGCTTCTTCTCCCAGGTCTCGGATTCTGGCAGTCATTTCAGCCAACTCCATATAGTCAATCAGTTGCGTTTGCCACTCTTCCAGCGTGGGTAAATCTTGAGTCTTCCAATGTTTGGCGATCAAAATTCTTGCTGCTGTGGTAGCATACATAAAAAACGTTCTGTCCTTCTTTAACACCTTTTGGCCGACAATACCCAAGAGGAAGGCCTCCGGTTTTTTAGGGAAGGTGTACTTAAACACCTTTTTTAACTCGTTGTAGATCATTTCCCAGAAGGCCTTCACTCTTGGGCAAGTCCACCAAAGGTGAAAGAATGTTCCTTCAGCCTCCTTACACTTCCAACATTTATTATCAGACAAATGGTATATCTTAGCAAGCTTGACTGGGGTCATGTACCACCTGTATATCATTTTCATAATGTTTTCTTTCAAGGCATTACATGCCGTAAATTTCATACCGGTGGTCCATAACCTTTCCCAGTCTTCAAACATGATATTGTAACCAATGTCTTGAGCCCACTTTATCATGGCTGATTTAACTGTCTCATCCTGTGTATTCCATTTAAGCAGCAAGTTGTACATTCTCGATAATACCTTGGTCTTTGGTTCTAACAACTCTGTCTCAAGTTTCGATTTTTCCACCTGGAATCCTATTTTTTTGTCCAATTTAACAACCTCGTTAATTTGGGCATAGTGAAACCAATCTCGCACCTTATCCTTTAAATTTTCAAAGCTCCGCAACCTCCAATTGTCACCAATTTTTTCTATTAATTCCCAATATTTCGGCCAACCGGCCTCCATATTGGGTTTTTTCCACGCCTTAGCCTCCACTGGTGATAACCACCTCGGTGTCTTACTTTCAAGTAAGTCTTTGTATTTCATCCAGACCATAAAAATTGCTTTCCTGACAATATGGTTTTTGAACATTCCATGTGTTTTTACCTTGCCGTACCACAGATACGCGTGCCATCCTAAGGAATTGTTGAAACCTTCCAGGTCTAGGACATCTGTATTCTCTAATAAAATCCAATCTTTCAACCAGCAGAAGGCTGCCGCCTCGTAGTATAACCTTAAGTCTGGCAGGGCAAACCCCCCTCTTTCTTTTGCATCAGTTAGTATTTTGAACTTTATTCGGGGCTTTTTGCCCTGCCAGACAAACTTTGAAATATCCCTCTGCCACTTTCCAAAACATTCCACTCTGTCCACGACCTGCAAGGTTTGAAATAAAAACAACATTTTTGGCAAAACATTCATCTTAACAGCAGCAATTCGGCCCAGCAGGGAAAGCTTCAGTCTCGACCATGTTTCCAAATCTTTCTTAACTTCTAACCAGCATTTCTCATAGTTATCCTTAAACAAGTTCAAATTTTTAGACGTCAAGTTTACCCCCAGGCATTTCACCTTCTTAACCACAACTAACTCTGTTTCCTTCTGAAACCCCTCTATTTCTAAGGGCGTCAAGTTTTTCCCCAAAACTTTAGTTTTTTGTTTGTTCAACTTAAATCCTGCCACCCGACCAAATTCTTGTATCAGTTCCAAAACTCTTTTTGTGCTAGATTCTGGCTCCTGTAATGTTATTACTAAGTCATCTGCAAATGCTTTCAGTTTATATTGTTTCTCTCCGACCGTGATCCCCTGTATTTGCCGGTCCCTCCTGATCATGTTCAGCAAAACCTCCAGGACTGATATAAATAGTAGGGGGGATAGGGGGCACCCCTGGCGTGTTCCTTTTTCAATATGGAACTCCTCTGTCACCACATTGTTCACTATCAACTTAGCTTTTTGTTCTGAATAAATTGCTTCTATACCATTTTCAAACCCTCGTCCCACTCCCATCCCTTCCAAGTTTTTTTTCATAAATTTCCAAGAAATATTGTCAAAGGCCTTCTCAGCGTCGATAAAAATTAACACTGCTTTAGTGTTAATATTTGTTTGTAAAAGTTCCAGAATATCGATTATATTCCGAGTATTGTCAAACAAATGCCTGCCAGGAAGAAAGCCTGCTTGGTCCTTATGGATTACTTCATTTAAAACCTTTTTCAGTCTACTTGCCAAAATATCTGCAAATATTTTGTAATCCACATTTAGGAGTGAGATGGGACGGTAGTTCCTAAGTTGAGTCTTTTCAGTTTCCACTTTGGGTATCAATGTGATGAAAGCTTCTTTCCACGTTTCCGGTGCCCTTCCTCCCCCCATAATCTGATTGCAAACCTCCATTAGTGGTAAAATCAAATAGTCTTTTAATGTCTTATAGTATTTGGAGGTAAGCCCGTCTGGGCCTGGAGATTTGCCCAGCTGCATATTCTGAATGGCATCCTCAATTTCCTGTTGTGTTATTTTACAATTCAAGATTGATCTCTTCTCCTGAGACAGTTCTGGTAAGCCATTGAGTTTCAGAAATCGTTCCATCTCAGACACTTGCTCAGGCCCTTGTGTATACAACTTTTTGAAGTATTTCTGGAAACACTTTCTAATTTCACCTGGTTTCTGGATATTTTTCCCTTCCACCTCTAGATTGGTAACATAATTAAGTTTCTGTCTTTTTTTCAACTGCCATGCCAGCAGTTTCCCACATTTGTTTGCTGACTCAAAGGATCTTTGTCTCATTTGTTTAATTTTCCATTCCACTTCTTGATTTATCAATTTCGAATATTGTGCCTGATGGAATTTAATTTCTCGCAAGATCTCTTTGGATTTTGGATTAGATCTCAACCTTTTCTCTCCATCTCTTATCTTCTCTAATATTTTATCCTTTTTCCCATTCCAGAGCTTTTTCTTAATTGTGTTTTGTTGTATCAGAAACCCCCTCATTACAGCTTTACTGGCGTCCCAGATTGTTCTTTTTTCCACTGAAGTGTTCAAGTTGATTTCAAAATAGTCCTTTAAAGTTTTTTGGGCCTTCTTTACGATCTCTTGATCTCTAAAGAGGGTGTCATTCATTTTCCATCTGAAGGAACCGGTTGGAGTAAGTCTCAATTCCATTTTCAGGGCGTTGTGGTCGGAGCAAGTCTTTGGGCAGATTTCCACTCTTGTAGTCTTCGGTGCCAGCCCTCTAGTTGTCCAAATTTGGTCGATTCTCGTCCATGATGAGTGGGCCTCAGAAAAGAAAGTTCCCTCTCTACCTAGGGGGTTCTTTGTCCGCCAAATGTCAAGCAAATCCATATTGTCTGTCAGTTCAAAAAAAGTTTTCGGTAGTCTGCCGTCCTTAGTTATTTGATTTTGTGACTTATCCATCAAAGTGGAGACCACCCCATTCATATCTCCCATCATAATGATGTTCGAATAGTCCAGATAGTCCATTAGTGTCTCATGTAGCTTCTTGTAAAATTCCGCTTTCCCCTCATTTGGTGCATAAATTCCTAATATCAAAACTTTTTCTCCTTGGGATTGTATTTCAATTGCCAGGATTCTCCCTTGCTCATCTTTAAACAAAAATTTTGGTGCTAGGTTCTCCTTTGCGTAGATCACCAGGCCCCTCTTTTTTACTTTGTCTGATGAGATAAATTCTTGGCCTAGTCTTTTGTTAATAAGTACTTTCCTTTGGAGCCTAGTCACGTGCGTTTCTTGCAAGCAAATTATATCCAAATTTTCCTTTTTCAAAATATGGAAGATCCTTTTTCGTTTTTCCGG